AATAATTTTAATATAAAACTAAACATTTTAATAAAAATTTGAATAAAAAATCACACAAAATACAAAAGTTGCAAGTATTGCATTCACTGTAAACGAACAAAATCACACTTTTCGGTAGTGAAGCTTCAATATAGTCAAAAAAAAATAGTGATAATCAGGGGATAATCAAAACAAACATTGATCGGTTTAAATTCTGATTCCGACAACTATCAGATTCCACAACACCCCTGAATATCTTAACAGAACCCCCTACATCAAACCAAAAATTATAAAGTTTCGAAACAATATTGATTAAGTAAAGTATTTAAAGTAGGCGTGGCAGCTTTACAAGCGATTTTTTGTTATTCTTTTTTTTTATTTAGAATCTAAATATTTATGTGAATTATGTAAACAAGACATTGTTAGAATTTATAATTTAATTGAACAAAAAGTGAAGTTAGGAAAATATTTTGGTTGCAAATAAATTTTTAACTATTTTTTTAATGTAAAAAAAATGACGAAAAGAACTCTTCAACTCTTTCAGAAATACAGAAATTTTTAAAACCTGGAATAACGCTCGTCAAGTAATGTCGGACTTTCAAAGTGCATTTCTAACTGAGTTTAATTTTTTTACATAACGCGCCTATTACTCGGAAATACTATTTAAAATTAGCCTTTAATTTTTTTATTATAATTTCTTTAAAAAACAAACTACATATATCTTTCCTTTATTACAGGTATGTAAACAAGTAAACACCATTTGGGACGCAAACTTTATAAATTCAGACCCAAACCGCTATTATGTTCTACATTGTATTAAAGAAAATGAACATAACCTCAAAAGAGTGACATAGAATTTTGTTTAAAACATTTGACTACGAAATGCTCTTACTAAGTAACATTTAAGCGCACAACCCAATACTAAAAAGTAAGTCAAAGCTATTTTTATTCTACGAAAAAAAGTTATTTTGGTAAAATATTGTCAAGAACTTCTTCGGTATTGAAGAAATGCCATTATTTTATTTACTATCTTCAATGATGATTTCGAATGCTACAAATACATATTTACGTTTACTTAGAAAATAACTGCTAGACTGTCACGTCCACTTTAAGAACTTTATGGTCGAAATTGGTTTTCGAAACTTTAAAGCGTTCTCGAAATGTATTTAAATATGTAATGGAAGTAAAGAAAAATTTCAATTATTCTAATACCTTTGAGCGACGTTTAAACAGCTACACTACTGCAAGCACAACAAAACCTCGTACGACTTGCAACTTATGTATGCGACAGTACCTTTGCATGTTGCGCCAAAAAGTATGCTACACTTTGCTGCATTGGTGACAAATGTTTGTTAGTGTTCCCATAAACTTTTTTCTTCACCAAATTTCTTAAATATTTTAACGTTAGCATTAGCGTTAAATATTCTTTACCAGAATGGACACCAGCCTATATAGCACTGGCATAGATTTTCATTATTGGTCGCCTGCTGTATGAGCAGATCCACTTGTTGTGGCACCGCCACACTGTTCTGCGTTTGGAAATCTGTGCCATTCAATTTGCTCCGCACACGCTTGATAACTTTGCTCGCCTTGCTGTTCGTTATGTCGGCGACCATCAGCGCGCCACCCATCAGATGATTGGCACTCATTAGTTGACTGTGCAGAAGTGGTTCTTCGACGGAGTTGCTGAGACTGCCATTGCCACCACCGAACGCCATGCCAGAACCGCCCGGGTCGTTATTCGATTTGGAGCGATGATTTTTGTCCATGTCAAGTAAACGCCAATTGAGCAGCGGATCGTAGACGAATGCTTCCAGCACTGCCATTAGTGAGTCTTTGTTGCGTCGCAGCACCAACATGACACTCTCACAAGTGCGTCGATAGGTGCCCTCAATGCCGGTTACCTCCATGGCTTTGATTAGCATGCGTGTCAGTCGGAAAGGTATCTTTTCGGGGAATTTCTCACGCGTCATTGCCACTTCAAAGCAATCACCGAAATCGATGTGCAGTATTTTGCCACTCATGCGATCCAACATCAGATTGGAGGGATGACGATCGCCCAAGCCGAGTATATAACCCACCATGGACATGACAGCAAGTGAACGTGTGTAATTGGTGCGGCGCTCGAACCACACTTCCGACGATGGTGACTTCAGCCACAGCAATTTGGCCAAATCATCGCCCTGTGTTTGCGCCAGCGCGCATTCGAACACTTCGACCTTTTGCATCAAGGTTAAATGATCATAATCGGGTGAGACGCTCAACATGAGACGATGTTCCTGATTAAGTAGCATCTTTCGCTTGTCACGGTAGTCACGTATGAGTGTGTGCAATGTGTCACAGTGCGGCACCCAACCAATGAGGCCCGAATTGGTGCTCAACGGTATAACGGCATAACGTTGTATAGCCAAATTGCGTCGGAACGTATCGGGGTCGTCCAATAGCAGTGTGTTGACCAGCGAGAAGAGTTGCATAACACGCTCATCTTGACGTAAGTCTTCGTGTCCCTTCAGCAAATACATATAGTCCTTACCGTTGGAACCGCGCAAACACAGCTTGCGTGGACGTTGCTTCGAAGTGATCACTTGCAGATTGGTTTTGATGTGATCGATACGTATCAAATCCTGGTTGGGATTGTAGGAACCTGGTACGGCTAGCTCAAGATTTTTGCATGTCATTAATTTGGGCGAGACGTAGGGCAGCTCGAGTGAGGTTAATTGCGGCAATTGACGTGATATCTTTTGGAAAACATGATAATATATATCCCAAGCATGATCCAAGTCCATCAACACGGATGAAGTTTTATAGCGTTGAGTCCACTCGTATGCTTCGG